GATGGACAGTCCTAGAAATTTATGTTTTATTAATATACTATTCAAAAAAAGTAGGGGATATTTGATTTTGGGGGCATAATACTAAAATATGCAAATGACTACGAAAAAAGTCACTATAGAACCTAACAGAAGAAACATTTCCAGTTACATGTGACGCCCAAACGCACCAATAGCTACCGCATGGAATGCAGGTGATGCTTGGGATCATCATGGGGGTCCAACCCAAGATTTGCACGACTCTGACTTTGAATGTTACAGTCATTGTGGCATTGAATTCCAGGGTGGAAACATCAGTTTAATTGTTTTAGTGACCAGAAAACAAATTTTGATATGCGTCGGCTTACCCAAAATGAAAGGTTACGTGCCCTTGGCATGCTACAGATCGGCACAACACAGGCGGTTGTGGCGCGGACGATGAATGTTTCTCAGTCTGTCATAAGCAGGCTATGGTCCAGATACCGTGATACACAATCTGTACAGGACAGACCACGCTCAGGTCGACCAAGGGCGACAACTCAAGCCCAGGATCGATTTATCCGTACCTTGGCCTTGAGAAATCGTGTCATCACAGCAAATCAGATCAGCGCTCGTCTTCAAACAGACACTGGTGTGAGAGTGAGTGGCCAGACGATTCGGAATCGACTGCAATGGGGTCACCTTCGCGCCCGAAGTCCTCGCGTGATCCCTCGTTTGAGAGATCATCACATTCAGGCAAGACGTCGTTGGTGTAGGGATCGTCAACACTGGGATAATCGACGCTGGAGCAATGTGATGTTTTCAGATGAGTCAAGGTTCACTGTTGATTTTTTGGACAGACGTAGGAGGGTGTGGCGTCGTCGAAACGAGCGCTTCCAAGACGTTAACGTCATCAGACATGATCGATTTGGGGGTGGTTCTGTTATGGTGTGGGGAGGCATCACTGTTGCTGGAAGAACGGCTTTACATGTTGTTGCAGGGCGTGTTACAGGCCAGTACTACCGGGACAACATCTTGGCAGTCCATGTTGTGCCGTTCGCACGACGTCATGGCCGCCGTTTCATCTTCCAGGATGACAACGCAAGATGTCACAGGGCCAGGATCGTTACAGGTTACCTCCAACAACAGAACATCACCACATTACCTTGGCCAGCACTGAGTCCCGACCTCTCCCCCATCGAGCATGTCTGGGACATGCTTGGACAGAGGTTACGTCAACGTCAACAACGTCCTGCCAATGTCCAAGAACTTGCTGCTGCGTTGCAACAGGAATGGGACAATCTCGACCAAAATGACCTTAGACGTCTCATTGGGAGTATGCCACGTCGGATCAATGCTTGTTTGGCAAACAGAGGAGGATTTACCCGTTACTGACTTGGTTGTGATGCTGTGGTAACTTTGCTGTTTGACCCCGGGTATCATTTTACCCTTATAATGGTCAGTCTGTGCCTTACTTAGTCTAACGATCATTTGGAATAAATCGATGAATGTGAACTTCATTTCATTTTGTCATTTGTTTCTTCGTCAGTTTCATTAGGTGACTTTAATAACACTTAAAAATCAAATATCCCCTACTTTTTTTGAATAGTATATATAACATGAACATTATTTATATCAACATAATGACATTTTCCCCAATTGTAGACATTGGACACCCATTATCTCGAAAACGCCCCCTCAAACGCCTGATCACCACCCAGATTCGGAATCTACGCAAAAAAATGGTCTAGAAAAACTTGGTCTCATAAATTCACAGCTCGCGTGGCGATCCCCCCCCCCCTCTTCAGCCACCGGACTAATATTATTTTTGTTTTATCCCGCCAGATAATAGTTCATTTCACAAAATATTTTGATATATTTCTTGAATTAGAACAGATTTATGCCCAATATTCTAACATAGGTAAAGCTTTCATATGTGGGGATTTCAACGGCAGAACAAGAGATGAACCTGAACAAATAGAAAATGATAATTTAGATAGATATATTGACACATTATCTCACAATTGTAACAATAGTAATAATATTCCTCGACAATCTTAAGATAAAGTTCTAAATTTGTTTGCAAACAAATTAATTGATCTATGCAAAGCAACCGACTGTTTAATCGCCAATGGTCGGTCAGTCGACGATAAAAATTTAGGTAAAGTTACGTTTTGTTCACCAAGAGGAACAAGACTTGTTAAAACACTTAGTGTTATAGATTACCTTTTAGTCTCAAATGATTATTTAAATCTGATACATAGTTTTGAAGTTTTAGATGTAACGGAATTTTCGGACCATTCACCTGTAAAATTTAAACTACGGGTTAAATCTCTAATAGATATCAATGAAAATATTATAAGTAATGACGCTCGAGAAAAAACGACGATAGAACAGGTTATTAAATGTGACGTATCTAGGATTAATGAATTTCGCGAGGTAGTTATAAGCAAGTATGAAGTTCTAAATAACATTGTTTTGTGTAACGGTAACATTCATACTCTTGTCAGAAAAAATATCACTGATGTTTTTCGTGATATAACTGTTTCTTTATTTGGAAAAACAAAAACCAACCATGATGTCATTCGAGACAGAAATAGGAATCTTAAACAAAATAAATGGTTTGACAGTGATTGTAAACTATCCCGAAATAAATTTAATAAAAGTAGAAATATTTTTCTAAAAAATCGATGTTAGTTTAACAAAATATTATCTAATCTGCATCGAAGCGAGTTCAATCAAATTAAAAGAAAGTCAAAGTTGAAATACAATAAAGCATGGGGATCTCATCTGTGTGCCCTTTCCAAATCTAACCCCCAAAGGATTCTGGGATGCTATAAAGAAAAAGAAAAATTTCAAAGCGTCAAATCTGACTTGTGAATTTTTAAAGTATTTCGAAAGTGTGTATGGCAAAGGTGCTGAAACTAATCCTCAATTAGAAAATGTGATCAACTAGACAAACATATATCAAATGAAGAAAAAATACTTGCAGTTAAAAAACTGAAAAGAAATAATAGTAGCGGCATTGATCAAATATGCAGTGAATTTTTTATTGAAAGTATTGTTATTTTATTGCCTCTTATGGTTACAATTTTTAATTCAATTTATGATAGTGATAGTGGTTGTTATCCGGAATGCTGGCAAGATGGTATATTAGTTCCCGTACCCAAAGCAGGTGATTTTAATATACCGGACAACTATAGGGGAATTTCAATAATGTCAACATTTTCAAAAATCTTTTTTATCATTCTAAATCATAGACTGGGTGCGAAAGCAATAATAAACTAGATTGGATCTAGAAAAGATAAAAGTACAATTGATGCTCCTTTTATTCTAAATGGATTAATTAGTCATTCACTAGACAATCGCCAAAAACTTTATTGTGCTTTTATAGATCTGCGTAAAGCTTTCGAAATCAGTTGTTGAATAAACTTAATTCAATCGGTGTAAGCTCTAAAATGGTAACTATAATCAAATCAATGTACAATAAAGTGAGCAGTTTTGTTAAGTTTAAAGGTAAATTATCTACGCCATTTCTCAGTATGCCAGGGGTTAAACAAGGCGAATCACTGTCCCCGCTTTTATTTTTAATATTTATTAACGCCCTAAGAGAGTTTTTATTCAACGATAATACAAATTTTATACACCTAGAGAATATCACTATATTTTCATTACTCATCCATTACTCTTTGCAGACGATACTGCTCTCTTTCCTACGAAACCGGAAAATTTACAAATTTCTTTTAAATAGATTTATCCACTATTGTAAAATTTGGAATTTAGAAATAAATTCTAAGGAAACCAAAATAGTTATATTTCACCAATAAACTTAAAATTTTATATTCATGAAACACAACTTGAAATTATCAATCAATATATATATATATGGGTCTTTTAATATGTGATAATTGTAAATTCTCCAAAACAGAAAAACGTTTTGCATCAGAAAAGCAATGGGGGCACTTTTAGCTTCAACAAAAGACTCTTATTTTAATCCAATTGTTTACTGTCAATTATTTAACACCATGGTTTCGTCTGATTTAACTATGCCTGTGAAGTTTGGGGTTTTCATAATGCTAAGTCAATTGATAAAGTACAAAATGATTTTATGAGATATATTTTAAAAGTAGGTAAAGATAGGTTGCTAGGCAACGAAACATACGGCCACAGCAGCTATATCGTCCGGGCAGTCAACAAGAGTTGTCGCATATTTTTACTTTTTTCGGTAATGAAACATTTATAATACATTTAAATCCGATTAAGAGTAACAACTCATTAAGTAATTATCAGAAAACCATTAGAATTTGTTTGGTTTTTATAAAGTTCTGCCCCATGCTAACGTTTAGTATATGAAACTTTTAACATCATGGATTTAGCTGTTCAAGTCATAAAGATTCATTGAAAATCAAAAAAACTTGTTCGTCTCAAGACCTTAAACTCTGTGTATCAATCTGAAGTCAATAGGATGGTAACTTTAGCCTCTAGAGCGTCCACATAATTTTTCAAAGTGATCAAGGGCCATAACTCTGGCAGTAATTATCAGAAATCGCTGAAAATCAATAGGCTTCTTCGTCTCATGACCTTAAACACTGTGTATAAATTTAAAGTCAATCAGATATTAACTTTAGCCTCTAGAGCATCCACAAGATTTTTCAAAGTGATCAAGGGCCATAACTCTGGCAGTAATTATCAGAAATCGCTAAAAATCAATAGGCTTCTTCGTCTCATGGCCATAAACACTGTGTATAAGTTTAAAGTCAATCAGATTGTTTATTTTCGTAACAACGGTACTTGTTATTAGAGAGTCAGCCTCGATTCATCATTTTTAAATTAAATTATTAAATCGCAATCATATTTCAATCTGTTTAAAAATGGCTGTCATGTGAATAATTGTCTAAATAATAGTTTATATAACATTTGAAGCCAAAATAAAGACCTGCAATAGGCAGATTTAGCTCTTACATAATGCTCTTACATGGTGTTATTATACAAATGGTGTATTGTGTTAGTATCTAGGCCTACATTATAACATACCCCAAAACAAGTCATGAGAATAAAATGTTTATTTCACAATTATACAATAATTTATTGTACAGTATAAGAGTTTAAATATACAAATTCATTCTTGTTATTATGGCGGTAACCTATTACCACTAACAGCACAATTTGCTTGCTATAAATGGAACTTTCCATTGTAATATATTATATAAACCTATGATATTTCCATTGATCTTAGAAGATAGTTCTGTATGTGAAATAACCAGCTCACCAGCTTACAGGGCTCATCATTTAAGAATAACCTGTGTGAGAAAATACAGACGAACCACAACTGCATTTACTCACACAGGTTATTCTAAACTTTATAAAGCTTTCTTAGGGGGGAATTCTAAACTTTATAATGCATGGTTAGAAGGGCATTGTAAACTTATAATAAACTATAATTAAATGGTATACATATATGTTCCAGAAAGCCCTTGTCCTTGGTTATGCTGGGGAGATATTCATATGCACACTTTTTTTCTTCCTCTTTCTTTCTGCCAATTCATCATTCCCGAGCACAACCCCAGACTACAGCTTTTCTTGTACATGGAATGTATTGGTTGAAACAAATTTCAAATGCATAATTAGTTATAGACTGTATTTGTTAACTTTGAAGAAACTAATGTTTCCAACTTGCAAGTCGTGCTGACCATTTGTTTGTGCCCATTTCTTTATTTCAATATGGACAGGTTGCTTGCTTTCTAATTTGAAAAACTGTAGCAATCATTATTTCATAATTCTCTGCCATCTTTCCATTAATGTCACAAGTCAGGAACTCAGGATACTTCAGTGATGCCGAGTTCTTAAGTAGGAAAGACAAATACCCAACGGTAATGAATTCTATTTGAAACTGATGTTTACATGAAATATGAGTAGTAACGAAAACAGCATTGGTTATGTTTAGGCCAAATCACAAGTAGGTATTTCTTTTGTAATGCTTCTGTAACATTCTAACTTAAGTTATATTCAATATTCTTTTAAAAATAATTGTACATTGAATCACCACACGCTTCTAGTTTTGTTTTTCACCTCTACAATAGCAGATTTTCATGATGGTTCTAACACCAGTAAAACCATGTTAAACCACCATGGAAACACAACTTTCATATATAGTTCAATCTGTTGAGACACCATATTCAGCTAACAAAGCATCAAGAGAAGGGTCACGACCTCTGAATCTCCTAAATACTTCACCAGCTGGAATACCACTACCTAATGACAAGTATGTATCCCGAAATCTAAATACAAAAAAAAAATATTGTAAGTTTAAGATACTATTAATAATGATGTATTTTTAATTCCAAATTCATTAATATAGATTCCATAACATTGCCTAAGGGCTCTTTTCACAAAGCATTTATAAGTTCAGTAGTGTTGTATAGCAAAATGTTCAATTAGGTGTACATAAGTCTCTGTTTACTGAAAGGGGACCCAGATCAATAAAAAAAAATATAAGTACTTTTGTTTCTTTTTTTGACATCCACATTAAAAGTCTGTCGTCAATCTGCTCTACACATGCACTCACAAAATATGTTATATGATTTCATATAATCTAGACATGTAGAGAAAACACGCTAAATACCAGGTTTTAAAAAAATAACATCTTGGATACTATCTTAAATCACATTTACAATGTAAAGAGGAGGATGCATTCACAAGCTTTAAAGATGCATTATGTAAGAGCTAAATCTACCTATTGCAGATTTTTTTTTCCGGCCTTAAAATGTACACATAACAAGCTCATAATCAACTCAAACATTCATAATTTTGCTCAGATAGTGATTTGACTGAAATTTTCTATATTCATTTTTCATCTTCTATTTTTCAAGACTTAATACAAGAACAGCCAACTATTTATCTAAATCTACCTAATGCATCTATAAATGTGAATAAAATAAAGGCGGATTTGGGATAGAGAAATGTTGAATTTCAACAAAATTTTGAATTATTTGTCTTTGGCTTGCAAGCTCTAAAGTCAAAATATACAAGTAAAGATAACTTAGTAATGTGTATTATGACTATCATGTGATCTGTGAGTGAATGTTAATTACTTACACAAAAGTAACAATAGTCTAGAGTAAAACAATATATACCTTTTACCAATATCTCGTATTTGTTCTGGTTTATTATGATCAACTTCTTTAAAAGCTTCAAAAATATCAGCAGCTATCATCTGAAATACAAGAGTGTAAAACTTAATGAGAAAATGTTTTGAGAAACAGACATACTCATCTTCGATATATATCTAAAGCAGAAGAATTGCAGAGCAATTATGATTTTTGATACAAATCAATTTAAATTATTAGGAGTTTAGGTATTAATCTAATAAACTTTACAAAATCAAACACGCAAAATCTAGAATTTTGAGAGCCGAGGAATCAAAAACAAACAATCATGACTTACATTAGACCATACGTGAGAATAAAATCCAGCCTCATATCCCCCTGATATAATGTCTACAAAGGAGTATGGATGAGTATCCTCTCTATTTAACGGTAATGGCATATACTCTTTCCATATTCTCGTCATGATGTCAGACCAGTCATCTTGACTGAAAAATATAAGAAAGAGTATTATTAACGTGACAAGACATTAGTGATAAAAAGTCAGTATGGTCATAGTTTGAGTTTACTGGTAAGAAGCACTAGTAAACACTTTTGACAGAATCTTTTTTAAAAAATTGTTCATTTCTACAAAGCCTGTAGTCTGAATTTCTAAAGGTTGACCACGTTGACACTAAAGTGCATTATCCCATTGTGACTTTACAGTAGAGGATAATTTATAAAAACAACATACCTAACATGCAGTTCCATATCCAGAGCACTTAAGTAGAGTAAATTTGTAAAGTTATATCGTCTAAAATGATAGCGGTCTGCAAAAAAAAATACTTTAGTTTTTATATAGATCACATATTCTAAGGCTTGTGTAAACAATAAAGAATAGTCTAGTACAAATGTACTAGACTATTATATGTGCTGCCTACATATAAATAAGGCAGTGGCTCAGTTAGCCCCTGAGTCTCAGACTCTTCTCACTTCTGACCCATATTTGAAGTACTTGCCTTTACATTTGGAGTTACAAACTTTGTTGACTACACAATTCATTCTGAACAGAATAATATATTTCATTTTACAATGATCAAAATTAAGATTTTCTGATCAGTGTTATCAAATTGTAAACATAGAGACTATTGTCAGTCTTATGTGTTTGTTGTAACAAAAGTCTGGTTTATAATTTATATACAGACTGCAACATTTCAGTTTTATAAAAGGGAAGCAATCATTGTGTAGCTAATCAGAAGTGAGGTCAGAAAAGTACATGTAGTAGAGTAGAGTAGAGTGATGCATGTTGGCAGCTATGCATGCATGCTGGTCTAGTATATTTCAGAGAACTTATAGGGTCTACTGCTCAGCACATCTAGTTAAGCATTGTCAAACCAAAAGGCCTAGGATCTTGTGACTATAAATCTTGTGACTATAAATTTTGTTTCATATAACTAAGTGAAGTAATGCAGTGAAAAAATTATTTCTACTGATGAGCTGCTATTTGACGATAATAGATTGTTGATAATATTGGTTAGTAGTTGATAAGTATTTGGTAGTATTGGGTTATTATTTGCTTGTTTTGCGTGATACGGGAGGGGGGGGGGGGGGTAAATGGAACAGCCAGACATTGGCTCTTGCATTTAAAGTACATTTGGCGTGATATATCTCACAATTTGGGTGGAAAAAAAATAAGTAAATAGGTCATATGCTTATTTTGCACCATTATGTTATAGTATTGGTTAGTATGTGGTGATATTGGGGTGGTATTGGGTAGTACTGGGTAAATCATTCTGCAATATTCTATCATATAAACAAAACAAAAATGATCTTATCAAAATACATGTAAACAATAAATTTCAAACTGATCAGATAATAAATGTAGCCTGCAGTGTGTTCACAAGAAATTGTAAATGAAGGATGGACCAAACTGCCTGATGGAGGGCAATATACGATCACATTTCCATTTGGGCGTATAAAAATTACCTTTAATTAAAGTTTCTGCTAGCTCTAGTGGCATCTGTTTCTGAGTTTCAACATGACTGCTAATATTCTGTAAAAACTGAGGTTGGAAACACCATCTTTTCATAACATTAGCACAAATATCTACAGCATCAAGTTCCATATTTTTTTGTCCTGTCAACTCAGAATATGGCACCTTAGTTAACAGTTGTTGTAAACCAAGACCCATCTGAAATTACAGGGAAAAAATTTTCATGTGAAGCACTTTCAAAAAAACAAATAATTATTTTGTTTTAAAAAAATTTTTTTTAAGATTGGTAAAATTATACTAATGCTCATTTTCAATGATAAATTTTGACCAATAAGAGTACGAGTATAGTGTAAAAATTTTTGTTTTTGAAAATTCTAAGTTTTGGAGAAATTTTCTTCATTAAATGTACATTCAAAACATGTGGGCTGGACTAGACTATTAAAATATCAGACCTGTTGTAACAAAATTCATATTTTGGTTAGGTGGTCTGTGAGCGTAGAAGGCAAAAATGGGGTTCTGGGAGCTTGTACCCAGGAAAATTTTTAAACTAATGAACACATATTTGCAAATTCCTGTAATAATCTCTCTTTCTATAATAAAATATCTACACTTGCCTGTTCTTGTATCCATGCAACTTAAAGGACAATATTGGTGTCAGTCATTATCACATATGTGATAGAACTAATTAAACACGTTCCAAATATAATTTTAACACAGAGATCATTGCTACGATAGCTGAGTAATACAGGTTTCCTGAATCGGAACTGACGAACGCCAAAGGAAAACACAAGTCATCCCTCTATATAACTGACTGAAGTGACTAGTGTTAACAGATACATGGGCGAATTTCTGCTCACTAATAATTCCTTCCAAGACCAAAAGTTGTTGTGTGAGACTGTGAGAGGATATCTGACAATTCATAAAAAGAATTGACTGCCACTAGATAAGAGAACACGAAAGAAAAACAGAAAAAGTCTGTGCATTACCATGTTTTTATAAGGTATAGAATGCATATAAACAAGGGAATGTACAGATTATTTCTATTTTTCTCGTGTTCTCTTATCTAATGACATTCAATTACTTTATTGAATTGTCAGGTATCCTCTTACAGTCCCATATAACAACTTTTGGTCTTCGAAGGAATTATAAGTGAGCAGAAATTCGGCCGTGTATCTATTATCACTCGTCACAGCAGTCAGTTATATAGAGGGATGACCTGTATTACTCAGCTATCGCAGGAAAGATCTCTGTGTTAAAATTATATTTGGAATGTGTTTAACCAGCTCTATCACATATGTGATAATGACTGGCACCAATATTGTCCTTTAATTTTAAGAAAACATCTGCATAGGTACATACAAGCCAACATTCTTACAAACTGTTGTTCAATTAATAGTAAGAAAATGTCTACATTTGCCCTCTTGAGGTTGTCTTGCCCAAACAATCTGAATAAACACAATTCAAGCTACCTACATACCTACCAAATTTGGTTGAAATACATTAAGCAGATCTGGAGTGGAAGTAAAGAACATTTGTGAAAAAGTTTTAATCTGCCCATGTAGAGCTGATGAACTTTATCTAAACAGATATAAATAAGTATCATCCAAGAAACAAGCCATATACCTTCCATGTTTCACTGAAATATATCAAGTTCTATTGGAGAAAATGTGAGTACATACTTGCCCTGTAAGTTGCCCCCCTCCCTGCTGTTAAACTTCATTTGTACAAGAAGTCCCACCCCAACAATATGCCTACCAAATTTGGTTTTGGTGTCCCTAATCCTGACCCAAATCTATAAGAAAAACTGAATAAGTACCACCCAAGAAATATACCTACCAAATTTGGTTGAAATCGATCCTACAGTTTTGGAGAAGTTATGTATGAAAATGTCTAAATTTGCCCATTTTAGGTACTCTCACCTCAGCCTATGGGAAAAACTTTGTGTGAACAACAAGGCAACACACCTACCAAATTTGATTGAAATCCATCCTACAATTTTGGAGAAGTTCTGTATGAAAATGTCTAAATTTACCCTAAAAATAACCAGATCAACACTTTATAAAGAAAACAAACATACATCTTTTAATAAATAATATAAATCTTGAAAGTTCATCACTACTGGGGTATTCTTGGTGAGTGGAGGGTCTAGATCTAGACAGAGATACGACAATGGTTTTGTCCCAACAAGATCACTTCTATCTGAAAATCAGTATTGGAAAAAATGTATAATCTTTGTGAAATTCAATACTTGCAACACAAAAAACATTTCTTCTGTCTAAAGCACAAACTACATCCTTATTTAATGGTGCAAAAAATGATCTCTTTTCTATGATTAATTACTAAGTTATATCAGATGATATGAGAAAACAATTCCATATTCGATGACATGCAATTTTTATACATATTCACCAAAAATGTATCATTTTCTGTCAAGCATAGTAAAGACGACCATTTTACTTTAGAAATTAGTTTACAGGTGTTTTAAGTCACCTTTTTCTATGAAACTGCTCTTTTGATAGATGTTCTAAACAGCTATTTAGTAATTGCCATTCTTTAGAGATATTAATATGCCACATTGACATCTTTACATACTTATTGTGTGACAATCGAAATCATGACCAAGTACATTTGATACTGATGTCACTCTTATGAATCTTACATAGGGACAGAAAGCTAATGAATCGGTTTTATCTAGGTGTGGCGAAACCCCTGTCAACAGTCCAAAAAAGTCACTACGTAGCTCTGCACAACTTGGTCTTCTTGTCTATCGGTACCATGTTATTTGTTCAGATTTGTCGTTTATTCCATCAAGTATTTAGGTTTTTAAATGTAAAATACTGTGTAATTCAACATGGTGCCTGACGGGTTTAATATATTTAGGTACGAATTAGAACCAAATAGTTTATTTATATGGGAGTCAAGGTTTGGGCTATGCCTTGGAAATTGGAAGTGGGAAGAGACTAGTATGTGTCTCTCTTTTGAGGACAACCTTGGTAACCCCACCAATTAGTAACCATGGAAACCCTGCTTAGGTTTTGTAATACTTTAAATAAAAAAAGCCTGCCACATGAGGGGCATTTGCCCCCCCCCATTAATCTGTTCTGCCCTCTGTTTGCACCCCCCCCCGATAATTTTAGAAAATAAAAAAAGTATTTGTGATACGTTTCGGTAATCATTACCCTAAGGTGATTAAATCAGTCTGAAGAGTTCAATACGAACGAAACTAGTCACTGACACACAGGATAACCAGGTCTTCAGGGCCACTCTTATCTTTCATGTTATTTATTCATTCACAGCTTAGTTGTTAGATGTGAAACACTGTGTTGCTTTTATTGCATCTGGATCTTAATTAACATTTGCATCAATTTTGATTGCCTACGGCTTAGAGAGCTCATGCAGCAAACACCTTGTACTTTTACACTTCAACATAATTTTCCAAATCCATAGTGACCTAAAAACAAACTTGGATATGGTTTAGTAAACCGTGTAGTTTCTTTACCGATTTTTATAAGTTTGTTCTTGTTGATTTTTTTTTGGTTTTTATTGGTCCTCAGTTTGAGAGAACATAAATAGAATATTGCTTATACAGGACTATCTTACCTCTAGCTACACTCATTTTATAGGACATCTTACCATTCTTTGCATAAGGATCCATGTAAAATGATGCTACTTCTTCATCTGAAGAACATTACAGGAAAATATACTTTAGCTTGCTGTGAAATAAGCATCCACTATTCTTAAAAGAATCATATACCAACACACTCTGACCTGTCACCTCAGATTAACTATAAAAGTAATGCTCTGGGCCCTTATTCACGAAAACTTAAACTAAGATACAATCGACATTTTAAGAAATACTGCAATTCGATTGGCTGACCAGTAAAATCAATTTGCATGTATCCAATGAAGTTGCAGTATTTCTTAAAATTTCGGTTGTAACTTAGTTTAAGTTTTCGTGAATAAGGGCCCAGACTTCTTGTGTGTAGAATATAAAGTATATTTATTTCATTAATTAAATTAACTCTTTTAGAACTTTTGGCCTGTCAGAAAACCCACAGGCTTTGCACTGAGGACAGACCCATGATCCACAGTGTAATGTAAAGTATATTTTAGTTTTGTTGCAGAGTGATGAATTATTAATTTTTTTACTTACCATTTTCATCATACACATTAAAATATCTTACATCTTCACTCCATACATCTATTTTACTATTTGATTCCTTTAACAATAATAAAGCCAATATTTATTTCTCAAAAATAAAGAATTTTCTTAATTATCAAATTATAGTAAAATAGATTCAAATACTCACAAAATATGAAAATACAATCAAATTCATACTATCTTTACAAAAGTCAAACAAATAATTGTACTTCAAAACAATTTAACTAAAGCAAATTCTTACCCTAATTGTTATTCCAAATAACAGATTAAAAAAGGCAAACAACTTTTCTAACACGGTTTCAAAAGGAAAATATTCGGATATATGATCTAAATCAGAACTGAAAACAGAAAATAGTTTGAAGTAATAAAATTAAATGCTCTGTAAAAGAGGAAGAACTTCATTTAGCCATAAATCATGAAGCAAGATGACTCACAACATAGAAGGATTAAAGACACTTATAAACTGTTGAAAAATATGAAATAATGTAAACAAAAGAGATCACTAGGTTTTTCATTTGACACATCAAAACTATTCTTGTCAGTTTCAGCCAATAACAAAATAGTTTTTTAGTCATATAATAATCTGTTTTATATTCTTTTTATATTTTTCTTGCAAATGAATTTAGCTAACAGTTTGAGGCCTATTATAGTACCATTGGTCTATTGTCAGACGTAGAAAGGGGGCCTTCGACACCTCGGACGTCACATCTGGCGTATGACCCATGCCCTCTCTTCTTACTACATATTTTAATAGACTTGTGATCGTCTAGTATCTGTAATTCTCTTCTTGGATTACTTTTCCCGTTGTGTATTTTCTTCTTACTATCTAAGTAGTTAAGACGGTTATCTTCTCATTAGTTAAGTAAGATGTTTGTTTTACAAGGAAGGAATAACAATGAAATAGTTCAGTTCTACATTCTTATGTCAAGCTGGACACGTATGATTACATTAACATACTTATAATAATTAACATCTTTCTTTCAACCCCAACTCCTGTAAAAGTCTAACCAGCATGGCTAGACTCAGGAAATCGCTACATCATGTGGTCTAGGAACTCAGATGGTATCTGTCCGGAATCCAATAATATCTGATCTTAAAGGCCTGACAGGGTCTTTTTTATAGGACCCATCATGCACAGATCAGGCTATGCATGACCCTCAATCTGTGCAATTACTGATATGATTGGATGGTTACAGTGTGTGATGCAATTAGTAATTTCCAATCACATGTATTTTACACAATAATTTATCCTTGACTCCATAAACTTTAAATCAGTTATGTTCCCGATTATTGAAAACAATTATATAGAAATTTTGACAACAAACTAAACATATGACAGAAGTGTTTATCCCAGCCATAATATCTAGGGCATAATCACCTAACATTATTATTATTTAATATATAGTAAATGTTCTCCATAATTTGAAACCAATAATTAATTAAAGATATAATATAATGCTATTATTAATTTAAAGAGCAAAAATTCTACCAATCTTGCTACACTATGCCATTTAAATGTACCAGGATTGACAGAAACACTGATTTTAAAACTATCTATGGGAAATGTCAGGTTCATGAAATAAAACATTTTTTGTTCGAGGGGGGTCTTGAAAAAATGGATTCTGCATGTGAAGGGAACATGAACTCAAGTGATCTTCATTTGCCTTTGTATATACATTTCAATAACGACAGAAAAATACACGATTCATATAAACCCAAGTTTAAAATACCCTCGGCCGTTCCCCCTTGCATAAAATATAGGACATTAAACCTCATTTCATTTCATTTTCACCTCCCCTGCCCCCAAACATCAAGCACTATAATGAAAGAACTGTCGTATCGTAGACAAAGCCGGATGATAATATCAGGTTGGGTATTTTTTAAAATTTATGTTGCAAGCAAAATCTATTCAACATTTTATCTATGTGAGTATGAAAGACTGTATGAAAGACTATTGAAAGACTGTATAATTTCAAAAGATATATTGAAATTTTATAAGTTACATTTATTGAAAATTAGATTTACCCAATGATATGATTTCTATGTCTTGTTCTCCAATATTGAACATCCCACATTTCTAATTTTCCATCAAAGCCCTTTGATGAAGCAAACTGCTGAAGTTCGGCTATGTCCTCATTAACTATAGGTCCAATTTTGGTCTTATACCTGAAATTGAAATGAAATTATAAATACAAGTATCAATCGGGTAACAAGATTTACCCAAATCCACCATTATTTCAACTTAAAAGACAATAATTCATATCGATATTTGATAATGGTTAGTAAACCTGTGATAACCCCGGGAGTCTGGACAGAAGATTAGGAGACAGCATATAAAAATAAGGAGAATTCACATTCAGTAAATTTGTGTGCCATATTATAATAATTATATTGCCCAAAGCACATTCTTTATGTATTGCATTGTGCCATATTGCCCAAAACATATTCTATATGTAGTGCATAAAACTTTTGGTAGTATTCAGAGTTGTAGTAGCCATCAAATATCATATAAACAAACTTACGTCTCAAGCATTGTTAAAACATTTTCAAGAGATCCTGCCATTTTATTTTCCATTGACAGTTCTGCATAATTTCCATAACCCAACAACTTAGCATAGTCATCTCTGTAAAAATGAGTTCAAAATAATGAGTTTATTCAAAATGAATATCATAGTTATGATATAAGTGACAAAAACAATAAATCTATTTTAGAGAGAGAGAGAAAGAGAGAGAGAGAGAGAGTTTAACATCCACTCGACACTAACAAGGTCATTTCAGGTATAACACATGGTTCAATTTTATTTCAATAATTCGCTTACATATTAGAGGTCTTTAGCAGTGGGAGGAAACTGGAGGACCCGGAGAAAACCCACGAGGATGGACAGGCAACCCTACTCCTTGTCACCTGACTCATGATACAGTGTGCACGTGCTAACCATTCGGCCATCCAACCCCCCATGCAGTTTGTGAGAGCGATTGCGGAGGCCCTAAGAGAGCAATAAAATACACACTTAGATTGGGTTTGAGGTAGACGATGGAGCACAATAATGACAGCGCACCTTAAACATGAAGGCCTGACTTTTGTGAAAATACTTAAAATAGATAGGGACCTTTGCCGAAATAATTATTCTTGAAATTAGCTGAAAATTTGTATATTTAAACTAGTATATTTAATACATATTTAACTATTCACCTATATAATAATATGTCATTCAGTAACTGTTTATTGTCTACATTTCGTTTATGAAATTCAACACCACATCTTGTATTATAAGCAATCCATGCTTTATATCTTGTTATTCTATCAGAACAACTATTTAAAACACTAAGATATACAGGAGGATCCAAGGTAATAGTCCAAGGCCCTTGAGTTGGATTTGATCTGAAAACAGAAAATCTACATAAATAACATACTAGTTCCATAAATTCATACTTTCATAACAATTCAAAAGTGTTGACTTTATTATCAATCAAAGACAGTTTGCCAGGCAATAAAATATAACCCCATAGCAACTAAGTAATTTGAGCAGTCAATAAGGTTGATGTATATTTATACTTTTGATGGAAATGGGAGCATTTAAAAACATTAATTACTGTTTCAAGAGTAAAGGAAATGAAATGGGGTATAACATCCTACATTTCTGCTCCGATGTGTTCCAAGAGTAATTATCAGAAATAATTAAAATTTGATTGGCTTCTTGTTCTTTCTAGTGCTAACAATGTTAGTAACATTTATTAAATCTATTATATAAAACATGTAAGGGTAACTAAAAGATAACTTTAGCTGTTTGGGTTATCAGAAATCACTGAAAGATTTTTCAAACTGATCAAGGGTTATAACTCCAACAATAATTGTTGAAAATTAATACACTTCTTTGTCATTGTGTATAAATTTCAAGCTGAACAGATGATAAGTTTAGCCTCTAGCGTGTCCACAAGATTCTTCGACATATAAAAATACATGAACCAGTATTTTGTAAATATTTTTTTTGTAAAACTGAATATAAGCTGAAAATATTCACATGTCCATATACAAATTACTGTAATTTTAAAATGTCAGGGATTTTAAGTAGACTAGCTTTTGAGTCGTTTTTAATCAATAAGATTGTCTGATCTTGGAATAAGAGGGGAAATTGCATTTTGTAAATCGATGTAGAGACATACATGTACAGTTGTTCATGATTAGCACATTTGATACTGTTACTAACCTGTCTGCTGCTATATGGGTTATCACAGAATGGGGTAGATCTTTGATGTAAGAAAAGTTATTTATAACATCAGAATACATTTTTGTACACAAATGAACATTTCGGCTGAAATAGAAGTAGGTATATTTAATAAGTTTGTGTATATAATTTCATAATTTAATGACCACATAAAGTAAACATAAAAATTAACATCCTACTTTTCACTGTTTTTTTCCCTATGCTTGTATCACAGATTGAATAGCATAAATATATTATCATTGTTTATGTGGATTCTTGTTCAGAAATAAGAAAAGAGTGAAATAGAATGATGCATTCTGTAGTAAATGAAAATCATACTTGAAATAAACAGCAAATCCTTTCATCATTTTGATCAGGTCAGTACATTCCTTTTTTTTAGGTCCAAGTTCTACACCATGTTTCCTTGCTTCTAGCAGATAGATATCTATTAATCTTTGTTGATATTCATTTAGATTAGAGCGGTTTGCTGCTACTTCCTACCCAAAAAAAATAAATACAATCATCACAAATAATTCTATAATTTTTGCTATGCCCAAAAAACATAACAAAAAAAACCCCATTTTTAAAATCTGACACAGTAGTATTATTTTTGGAGAGTAGATTATCCGAGTTGAGTGGTGGGTTTCTTTTTCAGAGACCTCTGAGTGGTATGTTGATCTTTAAATAATTGTATATCTGGTATATTTGTTAAACCGATTCAGGGGCATGTTCAGAAATTTGAGCAAAGGGGGGGGGGGGGGGGGGTGGAGACAATGTCAGGTTTGGCGTGAGGTTTGGGCAATTACCCAAGTCTTTATAAAAGACAATATTTTGCTCAATCAGGTGCATATATGTCTAGGATTAGAGTGGAGTGAAGTTGATATTTCGATGAATATAAGAGAAACCAGCGGTTGCCATGGAAGATATGGACAGAGAACAAGCTAAAAATAAAGAAAGCAATTTTTGGTACAATCAAGGGTAATAAACCAGGAAGTTACAGTCCAATATATTGCAAGGAACCGAGACCTGTAGGACATAAAATTACATCTTAAGTTTCGTCAAAATCGGACAATTATTACAACCTTGGTTTTACATACTTAATTTACACTATTTGCGTACAAGGAGCGGCCATTTTGTCAGGCAGTTCCGTTCCGATTTTCCACAAAATTCGAACTCCACCATCATTATGGTGTAACGGTGATATATTTAAACAATTTTTAAAATCGGATAAAAAATGTGACCTCTAGAGGGCCCACAAGCTAAAAGCGCAATTTTTCGTACAATCTGATATCTGCGAATGTCCAAAGGGACTGAGATCATTGGGATATGAACATATACTTTAAGTTTAAACAAAATCAGACAAAAATTGTGAACTCTAGAGGGTCCACAACCTTGGTATTACATACTTTTACACTATTTTTTTTAAATTGAAAACAAATTGCGACTTCGCAATTTTTTGAACAATCAGGGGCCATTATCCAGGAAGTTACCCTCCAACATGCACGATTATCAGAAGGAACCAAGATCTTTGTGATATAAACATAAATTTAAAGTTTCATCAAATTCGGATCAAAATCTTTTGTTGGGCATTTTTGTTCCAAATTTTGCGAAATTCAAACTCATCAGTCATTATGGTGTTACGGTGATATCTTCAAACATTTTTTTGAAACCAGATAAATATTGTGACATGAGCAACCACGAGCTAAAAATGTGATTTTTCGTACACTCAGGGTCCATTAGCCAGGAAGGTACGGTCCGAAATGTGTGAATATCGACAGGAACCGAGATCTTTGAGTTTTAAACATACGTTTCAAGTTTAATTGGATTTAAATTATGACCTCTAGAGTTGCCACTAGCTAAAAACGTGATTTTTCGTACAATCAGGGGCTATAATGTCTGATACATGCCAATTTCGAAAGGAACCAAGCTCTTTAGAAGATAAACCTATATTGCAAGTTTCGTCAAATCGGATAAAAATTGTGACCTGTAGAGTGTCAACAAACAAATTGTGGAAGGACGGAAACGGGCAATGACAATATACGTCCACATGAAAATGTAGGCATATAAAGACATATGCTCTGCGATAGCAAGGCAGAGCCCAGACCCCTTCTTTGCCCTGAACACATGCCTGCAATTACTTAAAAGAGAGAGGGAGCCACGGTGGCTAGGTGGGTAAGGCGCTGGCTCGCTAGCCTGGAGGTCGGGTGTTCGATCCCTGCATTGGCCGAGAAAGTTCATCTCGATTTTCCGACATGGTTTCCCCTTGTCAGTGATGCAGGACAGAGGGCCTGACAAGGAAAGCTGTCTAGTCCTTCGGATGAGACGAAAAACCGAGGTCCCGTGTAAACATTGGAATGCATGTAAAAGATCCCTTGGCAGTTGGAAATCGATATAAGAGTAGGCGATAGTGCCGCTGCCCGGGCAAAATTTCCCTCATAGCACACTGTATGGCGTATGCCCGTCTTCATTAGCCCAGTATAGGAGCAGAACAGTGGGACGTTAAACCCCATTTCATTTCATTTACTTAAAAGAGAGACAATATACAGCAGAGGAAACAGCAGTATATAAAATGCATTACATTAGACAAGACATGTTGCCAGGCTCATATGCACATGACAGCTAATTTGCAAAGTAATTATAGAATAAAATTTACAGTATTGAAACCAACCTTGACTGAATCGTACAAGGTTTCACTTAACCAACGCTCCGCTCTGGCTTTTTCCACTTGCGGATTCATCTGAAAATAAGAAATGAAATTAGACGTTTATGAATGGTTACCCAAAACAACATCAATACTTTTAGAAACTATTCATCATTGAGCAGCTCAATGCCAAAACAATCTTACAATACATAAAACTGAATGATACAGATGTTATAGTCGTGACTGGGAAGGCTTAAATATTTGCAGATCAGTAATGCTTTGAAGTTCTGTCAATTCCACTAACATAATCAAAATACTATTGAAACTGTCATATATATTTCATATACATTACAACATCATCTTTTTTTAATATATAGAACTGCAAGTCTACCCGTAAAAAAGCCTTCTCAAAGTCTGTATTTTTCTTGATAAAGTAAAAAAGTTTAACAGTGTTGTATGCATAACTCAATGGAACATCTGCTCTTTCAATTGGTTCAAAGACACTCTCAAAAGTCTTTTCATCTTTAGGATCTGAAAAAAAAAATAAAATGAAGTGTTTCCTTTTCCAAATCTACATTTTTATAGTAATAACTTAAAGATAGGTTGCCAGGCAATGAAACATATGCTCACAGCAGCTAAGTCGTCCAGGCAGTCAACAAGGGTTGTCACATATTTTTCTTTTATCAGAAATGAGAACATTTACAACACATGAAAATCTGACTAGGAGTAATCACAAGAATTTGATTTGATTGTTTGTCTCATGACCTTAAGCAATTTACATTTATTTTAGCCTCGAGAGTGTCCACAAGATTTTTCAAAGTGATAAAGGTCCTTAACAGACCGATGGAAGGGGGCGACGACAATATACGACCACATTTCAATGTGGGCATATAAAAAAGAATTATCACTCTCACTAAGAAAATAAATGTAATTAATATTGAATAATATCACATTTCCAACAGAATTATCTAATTATCCCAAATCCAAGTACTGACTTACTTAGGAGCAAGTTATTTTTCAAAAGTGTTAAGTAAACACTGGAAAATTTAATGCTTGAAAAATAAGCTTTACACTGATAATCCATACTCTCAACATTGGTAATATAAATATAATTTATTAAAATTCAAATCCAGTACAGATTGCAGTTGCACTACAAACAACACTTGCAATTCATTTACCTTTCAGTTTTTCAATAAGATTTCCAAGTTTTGTTTCATATTGTATTGAAAGTTTTGCTGGTCCCGTTACGCAGCCATCTGGTCTTAGTGTAGAATATGCTGGATTTCTAAAACGCATGATAGCATTAGTTTCAGGCGTATCTGGAGGAACTTCAGGAAGACTGAAATAAAAATAGGTTGACAGGTAACAAAACATACACCTACAGAAGCTGATTACATGTCATTTCGGTCCCGCGTCATTTCGGACTTACGTCATTTCGGACTCCAAAAAATATGTCCCCGACATTTCGGACTCGGGTAGGTGACATTTCGGACTCGGGTAGGTGACGTTTCGGACTCGGGTAGGTGACGTTTCGGACTCGGGTAGGTAAGATAGAATTATACAACACACTGACGCCAATTTACTTTATAAACTATTTTATTTATCAACATAGCATGTACCACGTTTTAGCCTTTGCCAAAAGTCGCAGTTGATCTTCAGTGGCAAAGATGTGATGTCGCCTTTCCCCTACTTTAACCCGCTTCTGGTAGAAGCCGGGAGCGTTGCTGTCAATAAAGTCTTCATCCAGCTGAAACGACAAACAATATAATCTTCATCAATTTGTGTATTTACCTATTTAACAATATAGCCTTCATCAATTTATGTAAACAATATAATCTTCACCAATTTATGTAAACAATATAATCTTCATCAAATTGTGTATTTACCCATTTAACAATATATTTAATATATTTAACTTATTGTACTTACAGGGGAAGACATGTCTACTGGGTCATTTGGTCGGAGAGTCTGTCTGGTTCGCTGCACCGACCTTATCAATGCTGCAAGAGGTGGTCTGCTATACACTGGTTCGTTGACCGATCCTACACTTGCCATGACACTCTCTGCGATTGATGGACAGGATCTTGTAAAAATATTTCCTATGGCTTCCTTCTTAGCCTGCAATGATATAATAAATATTATACATATTCTTTTTTTTTATTTCAGCAACAGTCAGTACCAGGGTCAGCTGGAGGAATGAATATCTGTTCTTTCAATCTTTTAATATATGTACATATCGTTACTTTAATATTTGTATTTTTATATACATACCGTTACTTTAATTTTAGCAGCAGTCAATATACCAGGTTCTGCTGGGTGAATATGCTCTTTCAAACCTTTCTTGAAGTCGGTACCATCCTGAATCACCGTTGCAGGACAAGTCAGGGAACCATTTCTCTTGCAGCACCTCCATACGGTCGTTTTCTTGTCCGTCTAAAAAAAACATCATTAGTTCTAATTAGATATCATATTCGTCTACACGTAACATTAGTTCTAATATATAAGTTCTAGTTAGATATCATATTTGTCTATAACATACATATATATAACACATACCTTTATCGTATAAGCAAAACCAATGTTGTCAAACAGCTTCTTTTTCCCACGTGTTGTTGCTGCCTCTTCTATAGTGTATGCTAATTCAGGTTCTTCTTCAGCAAATACGCTAATATCTTGCTCATCTTCAGACATTGAAGACTCGATAACCGGATCAGGTAGCTGGTATGGTCGTTCAATGGTGAATGATTCTTCGATGTCCATTTCTTCTTCTGTAGGGGGGAGCGGGGCAACACATCTACAGCATTTCCATTCAAAAGCAGTTCTATGTCGGTTTAAACTCCTGTACTCATCCCGAGTGATGCCTGAAATAGTGATAAATAAAATAATAATATTCCCGGATTGCGGGTACGTGTCAATAAATAACAATAACGACAAATTTATAACGTTTCAATAAATAACAATAACTTACAAGCTGAAACGACAAATTTATAACGTTTCAATAAATAACAATAACTTACAAGAAACGACAAATTTAAAACGTTTTAATAAATAACAATAACTTACAAGAAACGACAAATTTAAAACGTTTTAATAAATAACAATAACTTACAAGAAACGACAAATTTAAAACGTTTTAATAAATAACAATAAAGAAAATTTCATTACGTACCGGAATCGCAGGTTCGATGTTGCCATAAAAGACAAGAATCGCACTGGAGGCCTTCTTGTCGAGGACGGACAGGATTGGTACACTTTACGCAATTTCCACTAGCCATGATAGATTCGTGTAAAAATTGAGAATGATTTGAATTGAAATATGGCACATATATATAATACATTTGAGCTTGGGCTCAATCATTTCTTAACGGCTTCATTATTTCTCAATCATTTCTTAGCGGCTATTAGAAACGCCGATCAGTGTTTTTATTTCTCAATCATTTCTTAGCGGCTATTAGAAACGCCGATCAATTATCGCTATTAATCTTAAATACAACAATGGGATGGTTTCACTAATCGCTGGATTCACTAATCGCTAGATTAAAACAACAATCGCGGATCGATTATCGTCAACAATCTAAACTAATTCATCGTCAACAATCAAAATTTACTCATCAAAATACAATAATATCCGATCAAGTAAATAAACAAATACAAAAAAGGCAAGTAGCATAGGTTTTACTTCAAGTTCAAGTTCAAAGGCGTGTTGTCAAGTAATGGCCTGTATGGGATAAATAAAACAAGACTAACAATGTTTAAATCTTTATTAATGTGAATGGTCTGTCTTGAGCCTCACCTACAACGAAAGAAAAACAGCTATTACTAATATATACACACATAATTTTAAGTTTTATTTGAGTCCGAGTCCGAGTCCGAAATGTCGCCGGTCCGAGTCCTAAATGTCGTTTGACTGAGTCCGAAATGACACCGAGTAAGTCCGAAAAGTCGCCATACTGAGTCCGAAACGACGTTTGTGCTGAGTCCGAAATGACGCGGGACCGAAATGACGTGCTACCCAGAAGCTAAGGGGTCCATTGTCCAAGCAGTATGTAAGAGTTGACACATATTTATTCTTAGAGTGTAGAGCATCCATAAGATTTTTGAAATTGATCAAAGGTTTTATTCTGACAGTAAATACTGGAAATCTATATGCTTCTTCGTGAGAAATTATTATTTGTACAAAAATTTGATAAAACTTTTTTTCTAAAAATAAGCTAGGTGCCTAGAAGAAAACTATATCTATTTCCATAAATTCATATTGCCATAACAAACCAAAAGTGTTGTCTCTATCAACTGAAATGCAGAACACAATTTTTCATTTGAACTCTAAAGCTAAAAGATACCGGTATCTTTATTATCAATTTTAGTTTTTTTTCTAGTGCAATTATATAAAACATGTACCAGTAATCAGATTATACCTTTAATTATCAGAAATCATTGAAAGATTTTTCAAATCAATCAAAGGCAACAACTCATGCCTAATCTTAGTTCTTTTCGGAAAGGTTTCTGGATGGACATAGTTATCTGACCTTTTTTATGGTAAGAAATGATTCCTTTGGGCAAATATAGATTGTAAGGACTTCAAAATAGTTGTAAAACAGAGTTAGGAGTAGATCGTTATTTTCATTAATTTCTTATTGCTTCTTGATAGGAACAGTCAAAGGGCTTCACCTGTTTAAACACCATTCCGAAAGGAACTAGCCAAACCTGTGACATTTGAAGATTATGATTTGTACTATACCATACCAACCTAATTTTGTAAATATTACTTAATTCAGAATCATCACATTAACATTATTACTAGGCCTATTAGATGTTATAGGGTGCATTTTAATATTAGATAGATGAGTAGCGATTTCATATGTGATGGCTATTCATAGGTTAAAGTAGCTATTAAAGTCTCTAACTCAATATCATTCAAAGTCTTTGATATTAAAAACGCAAATTTTTTGTCAATTTAAATCAACATTGATTTTGTGATCTTACCGGGAAAAGATGGGCTTCTGATACCCAATATCTAAGACTAAATATACATCTTACCATTGGTACACGAATCGTGTAGCCTACCATAATGTGTTTCAGCGTCATTTCTAACAAGGGACTCGAAGAACAAGGCTAGACATACTCCACAAGTCATGGCAAACGGTGACACCATATTCTTATCTGGATAGCATGCATAATAAATACTATCGGTGTAGACTGGAATAACTAGATGCTAGAGATTGCCACTGGGACTGATTGAATGTAAATCAGTTTATATACATTCATATTACATTATTATATGCGTTGCGACACATTTGTGTCCCAATTATTAGCGATTTAGCTCCTTTAATACAAATTATTGCAGCTAATGCACGTGTAAACACATCAGAAATTTGGAATTGTTTTTTTGGGTAGAACATTCATTGAAGTAGTTCCTATCCCTTCCTATATAGTTGCAATATGAAAATACCGTTCATCCCCACCTCTGGTCTATGGCTATTTTGGAATCCTTACCGACTGTTTTCCACTGTGAATCTTCTTTGTTTGCCAAAGGAATCATTTCTTGCCACAGATGACACACATTCATAATAAATCAACACCATTTTCAAGTAGAATTTTGCGATTGCAAACAAACACAAAATACATTTGAACTAGTCGGATCAGCCATTATGAGACTCGAACATGCACAGACTGCATGTTTATTTAATCGCTAAATTCTACTTGAAAATAGTGTTAAATTATTATAAATTAGTGTCAGATATGGCAAGGAATAATTCCTTTTCCTTTTGCGAAAAATAAAGAATCACAGTGAAAAATAGAAGGTAAGGGTCCCAAAATAGTCCGAGAACAGAGGTGGGTAAGACTAGTAAGAGCTGTATTTTACCGTATGTTCATATTGCAGCTATATAGGAAGAGATGGCAACTGTCAGCTGACATCATCCGATCAGAGACAGTTCCTAATGGAACTATCGTTTAAGTAAGTTTAACTTTTTTAGTTTTATTATGTAATTGTAACATTTGAAACATTTATTTTATCTGTGACTGCTGTGAAATTTGATTCTTATATAAATACATTTCAAACTAAGTATATCATTCTTACAGAACATAGTATGTGGCTGATGAGTGTCTTATTGTAGTTTTCCAATGATGTGCAGATAAATAACATGATGCACATATTTTTTTAGTGAACATGGAAGAGGCCATTTTGCTTCCCTAAGAGTAATCTTCCCCTTGTTGACGGAAGTGTCGTGTTTACTTCTGACGTCATGGGCGGGGTTTCGAGCAAAATGGCGACTACGCTCATGACATGTTGTCTGAGTGATAGAGACAAATCTGAACGGCTAACAAGCCGTGACATTGATCGACGGCTACTTAAAGACCGAATGACATTCCGAAGAACAGTAAGAATCTTATTATTGGGTGCCGGTGAAAGTGGTAAGAGTACTTTTTTGAAACAAATGCGAATCATTCACGGTGTCGATTTCGCGAACGAAGATCTTCAAGAATTCAAGACGGTGATATATAACAATATTGTGAAGGGTATGCGTGTTTTGATTGATGCAAGGGACAAATTAGGAATACCATGGGGAGACGAAGCAAATATTAAAGATGCCAATTTTGTGTTCAGTTTTGATGGGAATAATAAACTGGATGATCACACGTTTCTTCAATATGTTGAACCAATGAAATGTTTGTGGAAAGATTCAGGAATAAGAGCAGCATTTGACAGAAGAAGAGAGTTTCAGTTGGTAGGTAATCTTGATGATGTATTTATATAGGTCGCAAAATTAACTGATCTAAAGAAAAATAAACCAAAATGTTGACAACATACTTTTTGTAGATCAATCTTTTCATTATGAAGGAAGACTACCCAACATAATGTGTACCCTAAGTAGGGTGACCCACCATAAATAAATATCTCCATATATCTCGACAATTACGCCACAATATTTATATATATGCCAAGCCCCAAATCAGTTTCACACAATTATAGTCACTAAATAAACGATCATGTTGTACTTAATAAGCTATGACCATTAATCATGTATAAATAATAGACTGGAAACTGGTTCCAAGAGTCGTCCATAACATCCAGACACTTTTGAGTAAAATTATAGGTTACATGCCCTTGTTTTGAAATTAGTCTCGCTTAACCAGTCTATCGACCATTCTACGTCTGATTGACAGGTCGGGATAATCAAGACTACTTTTTTTACGAAACATAACCGAAAGCTAGAACAAGAAATTGAATTTAGAAATAAGTACATTAGGTAGCTCAACAATCGTTTTAAGAAGCTTGTAAAAGTAAAATGAAACTACTGCTGGTATCATGTTCCTGTCTAACCCGAGTGATTCAGAGATATTATTTGTACTAAACCAAAAGATGCCGCTCTTAACGGTACAGTTAATATAAAGCGATTTAAAAAATGAAACGAACGTAATTTCTAAATCTGCTGTAATAACCAAGAAGCTTAATTTTACTGCTATTCAAAATCGTCAACAATAAATTTTTTACGGCTGTAATAGTTGATAGATTTGTAGAGAATTGCACGTGCAAGGGCTATTTATAGTATCATACTGTCAGAAAGTTGGTCCCGGCAAGGCGAATGTGCACGCTTCAGTGTTAGTCTTGAACTATCAGCGGTGGACTGTATTTCTGTGAGTACATGGGTCACCCTACCCTAAGTTCAGAGAACCTGCCCCAATAATGGGCAATATTTCTTATCGTGTTAGGCTAATTTGAAGTGTATATCGATAATTAATGCAATGGATAGTAGAGGGTGCCCATCGCTGAATCAAATCACAAAAACTAAAATTCTACTGAACCCAAACATGTCGTTTTGTGTTAATAAAATAGCAAATTAAAAAGTGAACCCAACATAGTTTTCTAAAGCTGTTGGTATTCAGATGTGTTAACATTAGATTTGATAGATGTAAATAAAATATCAAGGGCTTGGCTATTTATTACATTTAGGCCAATACACACCACAGCTAACCATGACATTGCATGCATCAGGATCCAGATTCAGAGCTGTTACATGTACCTAATCACTGTATAAATTGTCATTTGAGATTTAACTTTTCACTGAAGTAAATTCCAACTTTTGATAGAGATAGAGCTAAGTAATTGCTCTGTAGAACACCTACACATAAATAATATCGATATCGATGTATACCTCATTATCATTATGGTTGGGGAAAATAGTTGTTTTCCTGATAATTAAATAACAAGAATGAGACCAAATCATCAAAGATGTGAATTATAACACTTCATGTAGATATAAATAAAATGTCTAGGGCTAGGCTGTTTATTACATATTCCTGAAGCAATGGCCCGAGAAATACCCCTTTGGCCATTGCTGGATAGACTTTTAGTACTTGAGCTTTTGAGGGAGTGTGTAGACCTATATTCTTCCTGTTTAATCAAATATATCCCAAGTACAGCAACATGACAGCCTTTCGTTTAATCTGGGGTCTTCCCTTAAACTTTGGACTGTGATTTAAGGTATTAAATCAGTGAAAATATTGTCTCCAAACAGTATTGTTTACATTGTATCCGCGTTGATAGCCTCGTTTGTCACACAATTAGTTTTTCTGCAATATTCTGCTATGCACTGGTTAATTGTAGTGCTGGGTATTGCGACTGCCCAGTCACGATATGATACGTATTGCGAGTCATGTGCCATGATACGATACGTATCGCGATTCATAACTAGGTCATAGATTTATCAATAAAACAACAAAATAAATATGTGATTGTGTTTTTAATGAAGTCACAAAAACCAGGAAATAAATAAACTTGATTACTATTTAGTAATGTAAACTTTGTTTGAATAACATAAAATTAAACAGTCGCCACTATGGTGTCTTGTCAAGTGAGTGCTGAGATTGGTTGTATTACCACAATATTTTAGAATAGTTTTTCATATTCTACAAACAACTTTCGTTGTCACCTTTTAAAAACTCAAAGTTTTCCCAAACTTTAGATTTATATTTCGCTGGAGGATTTGTTATTGTGACTGTGTTTTCCGCCATTTTGATTTTTACAAGAGCTTTTATTTACGATCTAAATTTAGAAATTCTAGAGTAAAATATCGTTTTACGTATTTAAATATGTATGTTTAATTAACTAAGCCTTATAACAAACAAAATTCGGAAACAAAACGAAAAGGCTTTTAAAATGTTGTTAATCTAAACCTACGAAACTAACGGTAATCACGGTTGTGCGCTATTTATAGTAACACACATGTCAAGACTACTGGACATCGTTTGCGAAGTGTCATTGTTTCAAATAAAGTTTAGGGTATAATTTAAAGTTTTTAAAGTTCATAATATATTTGCGAAAACGCTAAAAAGAATCGTGAAAAATCGATTCGGCATCCCACGATTCAATACAGGTATCGTGAAACATATTTGGTCCAATTTGGAGCTCTGTTTTAAAAGGGCTAATCCCGATATTTTTTGGAGAATAAAACTGCTTAATTTTGTGTTAAAATCCCTTAAAATCCTCTAGCTGAGGGCCGAGCAGCTAACTCAATATTTGTGATAAGTTTTCAAACCACTTAAACCCGTCAGTCTTCGTCTGGAAATGGAGACCGGTGTCCCAAGCTGTATTATGCGGTGTTTGGATAAAACCAGACTTTTATTTTATAAAAATAACGTGTAGTTGAAATTTACCTTTCGTTATCAAGTACAGCACATGGGTCATTCACTACATAGACCTCTCAAGGAACAGGAATCGATTATCAGGTCACCCAACGAAAAAACTGACCCGAAATCTTAAAGGGTTACGTGTCCAGATAAGCAATTTTGACGTTCACGTCCAAACGACTCAATATTTTGAGCTGGAATTTTGAGAGAAGGTAAATACCCCATTGCATTCCTCTATATTTTGGCGCTTAAATTTCATACGTACTCCGACTTTTATGTTTGAGACTCTCTTGATATCGGGATAGTCCCTTTAAAGCGTAATGATATTGTTATGCAGTTAGCTGTTGGAATGGAACAGAAATTTGCTTCCATTACAGCATTGTTAAGTGGGATTAGCTCTAATGTAATGTAGGAGAGGATAACATGTACGCTGCCAAATTTTCTTAAGAATAAGATACTCTGCAAAACATGTACACAGTTTGTTTTTTTAGCCTGTTCTTGCTTGTTTATCCAAAGATATTTCATTGACCTAAATAACTGTAGACTTTGAGAGTGGTGAATGAATAGTTTCATACACCTTAATCTAATATTAATTTATATAAGCTTACATTTTCACACAGTATACATGTACAGATTATAAATTGTAAATTCTGGATAAAATGCACAAATCTAATTTTGTGATTTGGGGAGTTTTCTTAGTAGAACTATTTGATACAATGTATTTATAGTATTACCTAATACATAGTACTAAAAGATGTTACCAAGAAAACATTGTAACTGTGGAAAAATGTGTGTGTATAGTACACCTGAAGATTCCCAAAGCTTACCATGTTCCTGAAGCAACAACTGAGAGTTTTACAACATCTAACCATTGCTAGAATAGTCAGAAATTCCCGAAATTATAGCGCTTATGTTATCTACCTTTACTGAAGACAAGTGAACAGCAGTGTCCAATCAGAGTTTGTGACACAAACACACTCAGATCAAACTTAGCAATCTCCACGGAAACCTTGACATTGAACAAACCTTGAACTTTGCAACTCATTTATCACAGGTAGACATTTTAGCTGGAAAGTATGAGACTTGGTGTTCACTCTGATAGGATCTCAAGCTGGAATTGTACCCAATCGAAATTAGTGCCGAAATATGCGGGGTATTACGCGGAGGGCTTGATAAGATGTACAGAGTTAAACTAAAGCGAGATCAAGCCGTCTATTGAAGATGAAAGCTTACATACAATGTCGTTTTACTCAGTACAACAACTAGCAATCAATTTATACAGCATGTTTAATTACCCAAATGTGATGTTTCAGAATAAATTAGAATTGTTCATGATTGACACATGGCAGATTTGAATTATTTTGTTTTTTAATACATGTAGATATAATACAGTAGGTCTGCAGCAGAAATTTATAATATGTTACACATGCAGTGCTTTTAGCAATGTTAAATGTGTAGAATTCTTCAAATGTAATTTAATTAAATGATGTGAGGCTATTAAAGCATTAAGGCATTTTAACGAATGACTTACTGTGGTGAATTTCATGTTCATTACTTGCATAAGCTTACACTTTGTATATAACATTCTCTTTGGTATTTTTGTAACTGACACTAAGAAATAGATTAGGATAACTGAATTATACTTAGAAATGTACTTTGTCATGTTTGTGTTGAATCTGGTAATATCAAATCAGCAGACTGTACACAAAAAACTTGCAGGTAAAGCTATTTCTGGTATAGCATGTAATATTTTAATCAAATCTTGTGATGTTTTCACACCAATATATTATACATATATCATGTATATTCTTGTTTGAACAAAAAGATTACCGTACACCATAAAATAATGCATGGGCATCCACATCATGAGCTTTTTGCAGAGAGATAAGCTTATATATCAACACATAACTTTTATTTAGGGAACTGTAATTGTTGCAATTTTCAAGGGATGGTCTTTTTAAGAGATGACACTCCATGTGGACCTTTAAAGAAAGTATTTATCGGGTGGTTATTTCCAATAAAAGTATGCCAAATTTGGTATACCCGGTATATGGAAAGTATAGACGCCAAATCTTACTAGAAAAATACCAGTTGTTAT